TTATATTATATATATTATATATATATATATATATATATATTAGTATATTTAAAATCCAACCCTCGACAGGTCTGTTTTTCTCAGTTAAATCATCTTTACAACTCAATGCTTGCCCATACACAAGAAGATCCATCAAAGAATTTTATATTTATTTTGGAGCCTATTTACTATCATGAAAGGCAAAGAAGAAAAACACCATATCAAGATCCTCCACCGAGGTAGAATATCATGCTATAGTCGCCGCCACTAGCGAGCTCATTTGATTAACACGATTTTTGAAGGACTCAATATTGAGACATCCGAAGCAACTCCTTTATCTCGCTCAAATCAAGATACTATCTATAATGCCACTAATCCTGCATTCCATGACACACTAAACCCATTGAAAATATTGACCGTCATTTTTTCAGAAAAAAATTGAGCTAACGGAATCCTCAACTTGATGCCCATCCTGTCAAAATTACAACTTACCAATATGTTCACAAAGGCATTACCAATTGCTTCCTTATCTAATTTATTACAGATGATGATCCTTACAAATATATATAGCACAACTTGAGGGGGAGTATTATAATATTATGCTCATTACCAGCGATCTAATCCCCACCGTTCATCGAAAAGAGCAACATGAACTGATATTATTTTTGCTTTCCGTGACAAAAAGGGTAGAGGGAGGGACCTTTATGAAGCTTGACAGTGTATTCATTGACCACCACGGCTGTGTTTCCATCTTCATTTTTTCAAGCTTGAACATTGATGAGAGTTTGTTGCCGAAGAGACAAGTTGGTTGCAACCGGCTGCTACTAGCAACATTATAATAACGTCGAAAATTGGGCAATAGCATAATGAGCATGCAAAACTTGCTATTTAAGAAACAACCATCCTATTCCATTCATTTTTCAAATTCTCACTCAAATATCAAAATTTATGGTAGAACCCCAAACCTTATTTTTTATTTTCGTCAGACTCTCAATAGTTTGATCGTGACACTCGTAAATACACCGGTTCGGTAGTTACAAAAAATCACCCGGATAATTAATTTATAAATATGAATGTTTCGCGTGATCTATATGTAATTAGTCCTATATATATATATATATATTATAATTTATATTT